CGAACATTCCACGTAACCATCCTTATTTTTGCTTTCATCGAAAGGAGGCACAATGGCTGACTGGCTTCCCGAAGGCTTTCAACAGCCTGCGTCATTTCACTTCCCCGATTCCAGCGAAAAATAAGGTAATTGTTTGTATATTTGGAATTTTTAATATTTTTATTCGTTGAAGTTTCTGTAGCGATTTGGTTGTTTTACAGGGGTGGAGTTGGTAGCACCACGCCCCAACCCTCCCTCTTTACCCGGGCTTGGGACCGGCTAGAAAACTAGTAAGCTAGTAGCCTAGCAAGCTAGTATCTGGCAAGGTTTCAGTTCTTCTATACGGGTCAGAAACTTGGCCAGTGTGTCATGCAGAGGATTTTCAACACGTCACTGCAGGCTTTTATCAACAGTTGCCAACTGCACTTGTCGGCTCTATAGTGAAGAAGATCAAGTGGTCAGCCAGAAAGAATAAGTAACAAGGAACTGTGGCGATGAACAGGCCAATGAAGAGCCGATCACTCAACAATTATAAATGAGAAAATGGAGGTGGACTGATCGGCCATACACTGAGGAGGGAGGCCTCGAATGACATCAAGCACAAAGCAGGCCGTCGCCCTAGTGGAATCCGAATGGGAAGCGACGAGTGGTGTGTTGGTGCGAGGGTGATATTGAGTAGATCGTGTGGAGAGTAGACTAGAGATTCTGGGCAAACGTGCAGACATCAGAAAGGGACGGCGGAAAACAGGACAAAGTGGAAATGTGTTGTTGAAGCTCTAAGTTCCACGTGGAATCCAAGGGAATAATCATGTTGGATTTACGCGTAGGGTGAGTTACATTTTGCGTCCGGCGATAGAATTCGATCTCATTTACAAAACGACCACGGTATGTAGGAGTATTTAGGGTATTCCACCGGATACTAGGCGTGTTAGAGACGCCAGCTATAATTCTATAGTCAAAATGGAGAGAAGAGACAAGTGGTTCGTTTCGTTATTGTCAGAGTCCAGTTGGCTGTGTATACATCCTAAAAACCCTCTTATATAGGTTAGTGTTCAATGTAACTCACACTGCACCGGTCATTGAGCAACTTAAATCACCAGCTTCTGCAGCGTAGAATTTGTTACTAACGAAATTATTACAACTACCACCCCACGCTGCTTCTCTGCCATGTCTAAAGTGTGTGTCCTGAAGAATTTAAGAGTCTGTCATTGAAGTGAGAAGGTAACCAGGACTCGGTAATTAACAATACTGAAGGCATACAAAGTGAAAGTAGGGAGTGAGGGTGCGGAATTTTATTACAGATAGAACAGATAGAGTTTACGAGTAAAATAGTAAAAGATCTATGATTGCTGGTAAGGGCTGAGGCGAAGTGAGGGTATGATGGTGTAATTCGGCGAATGTTAAATGAAAATTAGGTGACAGACTGACCGGTACATCAAACTTTCGATGGGTAAAGCCTTCATCGTTTACGTCAGGGTTCTGGGAGAATGAAGTTTTTTCAGATGGCTCATCATTCAGTTGATCAACCTAAGTCCGTCAAAGAGGAATTTTACTGCTAAATTTGGTCATTGGTGCTTGCAATACTTTTGCGCTATTGCAGGGTGTCTACTAAGTACATGTCATTGTTATTATACTATTTCGCCCACAAATGTATCGTTATTTCCGTGATGAATATTGCTTCTGCAAGTTTTAAATGGTGCAAAACCCATTCATGAATGCATATTATTTTCTGAAAGACGCCTGAAACCTAAGCTAATATGTACAGCTCAGGCTACATCATAGAATGGAATTATAATTAGCTCAGTATGTAGAGATAATCATCTACCATGTGATGGATTTCAGAGTCCCAGGAATGTAAGCTTCTTGAAATTCTAGAGAACCATTCAGTTAGGCTGCTTGCACAGACTCGGATCCGCTTCCATTTGGTTTTATCTGTAAATAACCCTCACGATTTTTACTTCTCTATCAGTCCTGCTAGACCTGAACCGAAGCCTCTCTGCCCCTTGGCTCTTTAGCCCTGCTCCCCTAGCCTAGTGGCCACTAAGCCCTTAACACCGCCTCAACTAGTGAGGGGAGAATATAACGTCCGCGTCTGAGAGATATATTTGAAGATGACTTTGTGAGAGTGTACAGGTAGATTATCACACCACAACGAAGCTGCCGAATTATTCTCCCTTCAGAGTCATGTCGGCCATCACGTTCTTCATTCCGCTAGGATAAACACATTGACCGTTGAGTGTGAAACGGCTTGTGTCCAAATGACCTGACAGGCTTCTCCGATCCCCCAGAAGATCATTGACCTCTAGAGCCGAGGGTGTTTTCACAAGTGAATCGTAATTACATACATCTGGAGTATGAGTCATCCAATGGTTCAAGACAAGTTGCTGGCATTCCGAAGCACATGAACTACCTAACACTACATGTACGTTTTTGTTTTAAGGTGGAAGATACGTTCTTGGAATAGATTGTTCAATCAAGTCTACTCATTGTACTCATTGATGTGTATGTTTCCTCAAAGCAATGCAATGCTGCAACTACAGTTATTGGCGGAAAAAATTTCTCAGAGCTCAGCATCAAAAAGGGGGGAGGGTGGCGCATGCTAATCAGCAGATATGCTAGTGGTCACAAATGTGGATCGGTCCTATCTGTAGGACAACAAAATGCGGTTTCTGGCAGCATTAGTCTAGATCCTTAGCAAAAACCAAGGGTTGCACGGGTCTTAGTTATTGAAAATTGCCTCTGCTCCCACTATCCACAAGCCTGTTCAGCTTCTGGTCAAGATGCTACCGCAGGGGCCCTACGGAAGTTCGTGAGACACCTTACAGGTCAGCTTATCCTACGAGTTCTGGTCTTCCATATCTTTCAGTTAACTTCTCATTGAAATATTACTCGTATACCTAACGATCTTTTTATTTGCGCACTATTATACTCCATTTTATCTCAACTACCTACGCCATTATTAAGGTTAAAACTTGCTCTTTTTTCATATTTGTTGCTTCCTTAAACTTTGGTCGCTTTGATTAAAAACAAAACAACAATATTTGGGCAAAGCTATATTTTCATCGAAAATATCATGGTTTACCAATGGTTGGCACTATACATTGCAAATGCATACAATCATTCCAAGGAGTCTCCACCTCCTTCTTGTATATACCTTGTAAATGTACTGTCAGTGATGTACTATCCATAACTGCATTTCATTGCATTTTGCAGTTTTCCAAGACTTTATTTTCTTCCTGCAATAGCGTTCAATCACGTGGCGGCATAGCACTCACCCAGATATACGCTGTTCACTGGTTGACCATAACTATCACCAGGAAAGAGACCGAAGTTTGGGTTGTCCCTCAACTTCGATAGCAGCCTTAGTGAAGGGTTTACAATTTGACATTTATAGGAACCTGTTCTGATTGCCTGTACAATAATCGAACTATTTAAGCTTTCAAAAAAGTTTTAATTTACGATACTTCAGGATTGTAATTTATAACATAACTGATTGCGCCTATAAAAATAGCATGCCTTTCTTGTAAACTTACCAGTTTATACGAAATATAAATTATTATTGCATTTATTCAGTCACCAACACGTGTAGGTAATTTAAATATACGGAGGGAAACAGGTAGCCTATATGGATTTCTTTTTGACTTCTAACACCGACTGTTTGCTTCACTTAAACTAAGCCTAAAGACAAAATGAGTACCCTTTACTTCAGAACATTACTCAACTTCTTTTAGAAACACATTTTAGTTTCATCATCTCTTTGCTTTGAAATGGGAATGACCACTTACGACGACACATACAGAACCCTCTTTTAAAAGCTGATATCACTGCGGAACAAATCTTGTGTTAACATGTAGCCATGTAGAATAAATGAAGAGCAGGCGGTATCGCAATCGCTTACTATATCCATGCAAACAAGTACATGAAATTGGCTACATTCTTAGTGAAAATCAAACAGCATAGATTAAGGTAGAGACAGCAAAAAAATTAGACAGTCTTGACTTTTCCAGAGCTCTATCTTTGTGTTCTATGGTGTAACTTCGAATATAAAGTGAAAATAACTTACCTTCGAGTGACTGTTACTAATAAGTTATACTGAGACAGTCATCTTAATTCGCTTCTGTGATAAAGACTGAATTCCCATGTTACAGAAGGAAACTTCTATTTCCACCCATAAACTGAAGCATATTATAACAAATGTCTCTGGTTTTACTAACCGACTTTATACGACCAATTAAGGTAAGCATCAGACTAGAATTCTATTTCTGTGAGATATCGAAAGGCGACATGACGCAAAGCAGAGTATCTGTGACTTCGGTATTTCTCTTCTACTTTAACATAAGCCTTATACTCATCAAAATTCTCTTACTTCTCGAGCTTAGTAATCGGTAAATCAGAAGATATATTGAAAAGGACAGTGACCAACACGCACCTCAAACAGATGCTGATAATCCACTAGGCTAGTAATGCTAGTGAATAATCGCCTTCATTGTGTCTGGGCTCTTAGCAATGAGAATTTGTGATGCAAATATCAAGTTTTATCACATCCAGTTAAGACATCTGCCGTCAATTCAGACATTATGACTAGGTGAGGCAGTAACTCACGCCTTAAAAGCTGCTGCATACTGCTGAATGGTCTCAACTTACTATTAGGTAGATTAGAAGGTAACAACTAGAATATCTACTGCCACATTTTCAATACTCCATGTATCTCTGTGAAGATGCAGTCGTATGAATGCATTCCCCCTAGTTACTAATCATTAGGATCATTAGCAAGAGAGGATGGCGTTTATATTTTTATTGATTTATGCGAGAAGGCAGTCGAAGGTAGCACACATTTAGTGGAGAACTCTTTAATCCTCAATTGAAAACCAGTTAACCAATTAATAATACTGTAACACTGTATGGGATATCACATAAATGAATTGATATCACAGTAGGTCAAGGAAATAATCCACATATTATTCTCTAAAAACAATTTCCATATAACACTAGCTGGAAACAATTCATTATTTCTAGCACATGAAGCTTGAAATTTCAAGGTCAGCCTATGACTTTATATAACGACAAGTTTGTTTAAATCGCTCACTGCTACTTTCATACTCGCCAGTTCGTACGTTTTTTGGCGGGACCCTGTTAAGTGAAGTACTTTACTCGCAGCAACAATGGGAGAAGGTGGCAAAGAGATTAAAGGATTGAGTTTCGTTGAGAATTTTCTACTTAGCGGTGCGGCTGCCGTCATCGCTAAGACTGCTGCTGCTCCCATCGAGCGCGTTAAGTTGCTAGTGCAGAATCAGGATGAAATGATTAAACAGGGACGTCTTGATAAACCATACTCCGGTGTCATCGACTGTACTGTACGAACTTTTAGATCTGAGGGTAAGTTTTAATGGGTGTTAATATTTTGTTCTAGGTTTGTTACCGTTTTGGAGAGGAAATTTTCCCAATTGCTTGAGATACTTCCCTACGCAAGCGTTAAATTTTGCTTTTAAGGACAAAGTAAAGTCAGCATTTCAGCAAAATAAGGATGATCCATACATGGTCGCATTTTACAAAAATGTTGTCAGTGGTGGAACAGCTGGAGCTATGTCGCTTGTATTCGTCTACTCCCTCGATTACGCTCGAACTCGTCTAGCTAATGACAATAAGTCTGCAAAGAAAGGTGGAACTCGTGAGTTCAATGGTCTCGTTGATGTCTATGTGTAAGATACATAATACGATTAACATTATATTGCAGTAAAACTTTTAAGTCCGATGGCATCGTTGGCCTCTATAGAGGCTTTGTCATATCTTGCTTCGGTATTGTCGTTTATAGAGGATTCTACTTTGGGCTGTACGATACGTTGAAACCGATCTTCCTTGGAGCGGACGCAGGTGTTACAGTCAGCTTCCTTCTAGGTTATGGAGTTACTGTAACAGCTGGTTTAATATCCTACCCGATTGATACCATTCGCCGACGCATGATGATGACATCAGGTAAGGTGTTTATACTGTATTATTGGTGTGCTCCTAGGCCAGGCTGTTAAATACAAAAGTTCGATTCAGTGCGCCGCGCAAATATTGAAGAATGAAGGCCCAATGTCTTTCATGAAGGGCGCAGGTGCCAACATACTTCGTGGTGTCGCCGGAGCTGGTGTTTTGGCTGGATTTGATAAGTTTAAAGAATTATACGCCGACTTCAGATTGCCAAAGAAACCAACTCCCTAAACTTCGCAGTTAGTGATACATTGTAAAGCTAGTTTGTAATTTAGTTCTATTCTTGGATATCTAGCATTTTCATGTAACTGATGGTTATTAAAAATCCTGCACCGCATGCTTCTCACTTCTCATTGAAATTTTGGGTTTGAAAGAGTTCTTCACCTATCATGAATCAAAACTGCTTTCCAAATTTTTCTCTCGCATAGTTGTGCTCACCTTTCTAGATGCTGAAGTTAAAGCAATTCTTTAGATAATAAATTTTTGAAGATACGCGTTTGTCCTGTGGTCTGTCCTACTGTAAACGCTGCACCTAGTGGTTGTCAGGTTAAGTGATGCCTCGTGTTTTGGATGACGCTATTGTTTCCCATCGACCCACTCCATTGAAAGCTTTACGTTGAGGTCTATATGACTCCATCATTGATGTGACCATGGAGGGCGCCAGGCAATGTCCCTCTTTTATTACAAGTTAGTGCTGTCCAGGAATGGATGGTCGTCTAAGCAGAACTGTGAAAGTCGACCTCGTTGTGTTGGTTGGTCGGTATGCTAATCCATAGGTGACACCCATACGCTTCGCCGACAGCTTCCGTATTTAGGCACTTGAATCGCTTTCTAAAAAAATTGGATCACAGCGTTCTAATTTTTCGCCGCATACTAGGTTGTTTTCTCATAGGACACATCCTTTACTTTGGCCGTTGTGCGGCCGGATATGTAGTAGGCAGTGATTATGAAAAGAAACCGATGGGTATCGCAGTTTTTAAATGACTAGAAACCGTGCGACTATAATCGGTTAATGTAGGGGTCCTGCACTAGGAATGGCGTGTTAGCTAATAATAAAGGAATATTGTGTCCCATCCATTCCCTGTCTGCTGATATCTCTGATCCTCCAGCTCATTGATTGAATATCAAGCATCTAAGCTAGTGCATTATTTGAGGCATACCTTGTTTATATTAATGTTTCTATGAGTGGTTAATTCATATTCACCTCAAAACACCACTGAACCAATCGTTGATTTCTTTAGGAATAACTTCATTCAAATTCTTACTTCGAGGTAGATTTACCATCGTTGACATTTCACCGGATGTGCTGAGGATAGCATGGCGTCGTTGATGTTAATATTTACATCCTCAGGTTTTTGCGTCGGTGGCACAGCGGTTGGGACTCTCGCCGACCATACACATGGTCCGGGGTTCGACCCCCTGCCGACGCACACCTGATATCTATGGTTGGCCTGCAAAATTTAGGCTACCGATATCACATGCTGAAAATTTCATACTTGTGCCAAAAATACGGTGTGGAATCAAAATGAATAAAATAGTAGAGTTGCGATCCAATCAGTCATTAGGTAAGAAAAGCCAATGTCCATATGAAAACTTTTTAGTTTCTGAAAGAAGTTGAATATTATAACTGGTTTTTACGTAAATATGAACTCGTGAAGAACAAGAGGTATTGACAAACCTTTGCAGGTACAGATGATTATTTGAAGTTTCCTACTTTTTTCCTTGATTAAAGCAATTTCCTGAATGTTCCTACGTGCATCAGTAGGTATTTCCTCTTAAAAATCTCCCCGTGGAGTTAGTCCGCTTTCATTTCCTCAAAATGACTAGAAGTCGAAACACTAGTACATGGTCTGACTACCTGCCTATATTCCCTGTCGGGCTGACATTCTTATGAGATAGAAATATTGGAAAGTTCGCAATTCACTCGACAGGTTTTGATGATAAAGTTTGTGCTCTTCCTTGAAAATGTTACTCCCGGACTTCTCGTCGCACCATGTTCGCGAACTTAGTATCGCATCTCAGGATATACAAAGTTTCTGTGGAACCGCTTCCTTCCAGCTGCCACAGCATACTTGGGTTATTCAGAGTTCCAACAGTACTGCTTGGTCATGAAAAAAAAACTGCATAGTGCACCATAGTTTCCATCTGTAAGTGATTGTGTAACAATAGATCATGTAACCCAGTAACATGAAATATATATATATATATATACGTATATAGGATTGGCTGTGTCTTTAATAAGGTAATACTTATCCAGCCGAAGGAAAACCCATATTACTCAGTCAGACAAAATCTACGTTGCATGCATGTACCAATAATGAAACAACGGACTGGTTTCAATGTAGAACATTGCACCAGTTTCAGTTGCCACACTACCTCCACGTACCACACAAGGCAGGAGAAAATAAAGAGAGGGATAACAAACGCAAAAGTGAGGTGAAAAGAATATTAATATGGTATAGGCGGGATATCTGGTTTGTTGGCTGTCGACCAAGGGCAATGTTGTTAGCTATTGACAAGATGGATGAAGTAGGATAAGAGTTTACTAATGGTGGTCAAACCGAAACATGGCTTTATCATCAGTCAATAAAATTAAAAACAGTTAATTTTAGGCCCGCTGGCCAGTCACTTGGGGAGGCGCCAACATCCCAGATTGGGGTCCTCAGAAGGCTGGAAAGAATTGGTGAGCATCGGTAGCTGGAGATCGTTTTTGGTGATGGCTGGCGCAGATGTGATTTAGTATCTAATAAAAATCTAATGTTCTTTCACATGTCACTGTCCGTTTCGCCTCGCATTTGTGTTTATTATCCCTCTCTGTTGTGAGCCTCTCTTTACTGCCTTATCTTGCTTTGTGTAATGCATGGACGTAGTGTGGGGCAGCTAGAGCTGGTGTAAAGTTCTATGTTGAAACTCAGTCAGTGCCGATTCATGTGCATAGGACCGAATCACAGGAAACCAAGCAGCAACACCAATTTAAGAGAATTTAGAAATTTCTTTTGGTGGAATCAGTTGTTTCAGGATTTCATCAGGAACTGACATCGGGCCATTTGAAAGCCACCTGGGAGTACTGGGCAGTCGCCCCGTCCTAGTTTCGTACTCTTCATTAGTACTCATCCACCCGACTGAGGTTCGAACGCAGGACGTTCTGGTTACAATTGGAGGTCCTAAACCAATAAGCCACTGGGATCTGATCCAATGGTGCATGATTCGTAGGACTCATAGATGCTATGACGCTCTTCAATGTTGGTACGAAATTTTCTGCCAACCCGGTAGATTGAGGATGTCGTGGTGCTGTGTACAGATGACGGCAACGCATATCTTTAAGCCAGTCGTTGAAGTTCTCAGTAACTAAGAAATAGGGAATTCCATCACGGTTAAAAATCTTCCTCAAAGCTCCGTGTGCGAATTTCCTGTTAGAACTAACTGTAATTATCTCATTTCTCGCCATCTAGAATTAGAATCCACAATAACACTAAATCATAGTGTATTAATTCCAGAATGGACCACATGAATGCGCTGCCAAATCTCACAAGACGCAGACCATGGTTTCCACGGGCAATTTATGTCTCTCAGAACTTTGCACAGATGTGCAGCAGTTCGAGTCTCCACGCTTCACTCACCACACAAAGCAAGAGAAGAAAGTAAGGTGGAATGCGAAATAGTGACAGTAAACAGAGATATGACACAAGAGGAATAGTAATAACGAAGAACAATATGGTTTCATTGGGTATTATAAGTCACACGGAATGGATGCATGTGTTGGTTTGACCACCACTGGTTCTTTTCCAACCTGATCCTATGTCAGATAACGTTGCCCATTGTCGAGGAAGGCGACGACCAGTCATGCATTCGGAGCACATGTCCTAACAATCGCAGTCGATGAGGACGCTTTATGCAAATAGCTGTAACACGTCTTTGATCGTTTGCTAGTGTCACCAGCATGTTAGGTGTGCTAATGATTCATCTTATTAGCTTCTGGGTGAACAGAATGAAGATAATCCAAAATCGCAGATCTTAATGTCGGAGGAATATTGATTCTGTCATGCAAACATAGGATCTCTTCATGATGGACTGAAAAGTCCGGAAATCATTGCTCACACTGAATATTCCAACCTCTTTTTGTTGCATTTATAATGCTCCCGTAATATTTCCGAGTATCGTGTATAGGTCGAACTCCATTCACAGGTGACGGCTGAACTAACAAACAATCAGTGTCATTAGCAGAATTTTCAAATAACGAGTAACGAGATAAGAAGTCTGCATGCGGTATATCCGCAGCTGATCTGTGCTCAATAGTGTAATTATATATCCACTTCGTTCTAAATTCCATCTTTGAATCATAGCAGCAGATGATTTATTCAAGGATTTTTCCTAATTGTAAGTGAATTTCAAAGCCTGGTGATCGGTTACTATGTGAGACTCAGTACAAAAGAGATACTTGTGCAAGCGTCCTATTGCCCAAACAATTGCTAGAGCCTCTTTCTGGGTTTGTGAGTACCCTCGTTCACTCTTACTTGGGCATCGTTAAATACAAATAACAGGTTGTCCTATTTGCTCAAGTACTGTAGATATGTCCACAGGAGAAGCATTTCTGGTTAGAACGGGCTTATCTTTCGATGAGAAAGATCCTAAGAAACTCCAAAGTTTTTCGCAAGATATTCTCATGTTGTTGTTCCCACTTAAATTGATTACCGGAGACAATATCAAAAAGCGGAGATAACAGTCGAGTGAAATTGGGAATGAATCTGGAGTAAAACTGAAGTGTACCAACCTATGATCTCAACGATGACATAATAGTAGCTGAAGGTGCTTGAATTAGAGGTGCCAAAACGACTACCATCAGGTCTGAAACCCTCGGACTCTAGTGTGTACCCTAAGCATGATACGAATGACAAAGTAAAATGACATTTAGACGGAATAACCAGAATGTTGTTCTCATAGAAACTCCTGAACAGTTTTAAAAGAGTCCATTATAATAAAGGTTTTTGTATTTCCTAATGAATTAAAAATAAAACGATATTGTTTTCACTGACGTCTCGCTATTTAATGCTAATAGCTTTATGAAAGTATTATAGTTTTAAAAGAGGTTCATTGTGCGATTAGATGCTCGGTCCATGGACTATTATGTCATCTTAGTCAGATTCAACACCATCCAACATCTGATTTATTACTTTCTGAAATATTTCAGGTGAAACCTTTAAACCAAAAGGCAAGACCGTATGCCTGTTTGAACAGTCCAAATGGAATATTGTCGGTTTTTAGTGCACTAGAAGCTTCGTCAAGAGGAATCTGCAAATAAGCATCTTTGAGATCTATTTTGAAAAAGTATTTTAAGCCGTATAGCTTGTAGGGAATGTTTCTAGCGTAGTGCAACTTTGCTGTGTTAGGCGACCATTGAGTGTAAGGCAGTAGTCACCAGAAATTCTCAGTGTTTTGCCATCAGCCTTTAGTGGCATCACAATGGGAATAGCCCAATTCGAAGATTCAACTGG